TGTGGGTGTGGGTGGGTGTGGATGTGGGTGTGGGTGTGGGTGGGTGTGGGTGGGTGTGGGTGGGTGTGGGTGTGGATGTGGGTGTGGATGTGGGTGTGGGTGTGTGTATGGTAGATGTGTGTTAGTCTTCTACTCGCCAAAGGCCACACCCACACCCCACACCCACCCACATCCACACCCACACTCACACCCACACACTCACCCACACCCACACCCTCTCCACTTAAAATATAGAGTTAAGACTTTTACATTGTACGATCAGAGCTTCAAATCATAATGAATGATTTTATGATGTTTACAAAATATGATAATATATTAAAAAAGATTCTATGTTATTGTGGTGACTCTACCAACTACTAGCATCTAGACTTTTAGCTGTCGTGACTTGATAGATGAGACGTGAGAGACTAAAATAAGAGTCATTAAATATTATTAGAAATTTCAAGAGTTATATGAATTTTTATATTGTAATTATATCTTCGAGGAACTAAAATAATAGATTTTTTTTCTCGAAACACGAGATTAGTTGATTAAAAATATGGAATGAACACTTCTTTTTTCTTATTGTATCAACAATTTTTGAATGATCTTATTTAATTTTTCATTTGTTTTGAAAAGGTTTTGATAGAAATAAATTAATTTCGTCGTTACCAACAATTCGACAGGAACCAAAATTGATCTTGTTCGTATTGCATTAAATATACAAGAAAGATATATTAGTCACTAAACTCATCACCTCATATGTGTAAATAGGATAATTAGATATCATCTCACTGCAAGTTGAAAACTAAATTGAGTTACTTTTTGTTTATAATAAAGTATGTTAAGAAAGTCAAGTTGAGAAACAATTGAAAGACCTCTCGAATAATTAGTACTTTTTGAATATCAATCCATAGTGAACTAAATAGAAATGAGAAAAATGAAACTTCTTCTTTTCTTTATCTCGTCAGTACGTGGTCGCAGACAAATGCTTGAATCCATACTAAATATACAGGGAATTATCAGTCTTATTCTACACTTGATTGAGTGTATCATCATTTTCCGAATATTTTATTCAGCATTCTAGGTTTGGTTTCAAATAAGATTAGAATTTTATTCAAACTAAGAATATTCAAAAGATAAAAAACAAAACTAAACTATCAGGCTTTTCCAATGACTCATTAAATAAATTTAAAAACTAACATTAACAATGTTATAAGTACAAAGAAAATATCTATCAATTAGCATTGTGAATTGTACTTTTTACAATCAAAACAAGTTTAAAGCTTCGTTTTTTGATAAGGTATCAACACTTAATGATACTGAAATGAGTAATAAACCTCAATGAAAATACTTTTCAAGCAAGTACATGTCGAGTAGTACTGAATGTTTATCAAATACTTCTATATTACTTTTATGTAAATTATTACCTGTGATAAACACTTAGAAATTACTAATATGTTCTTTTTGAAAGCATTGTACCACGGTACATTGTTTGAAACAGATGAATATTTTTTCAAGTCTATGAATACTGATTAAATCGATATTTTTGGTAATAAAATATAATCTTCGACACTTTTTCTCGATTGATTTAAATCTTTTCTAATAAATAATCCAAATTAGGATAGAGAACTCTCTCTGAAACCATTGATAACTATTAGATTTTTCGATTAGGTGAGGTGGCAGAGGTTGGGCTACTCCCCCCCCCCCTCCATTTTCTGTTATTGTGTGCCAATTTACGATTTATGATAGAAATGATTGATTGTCCGAGAGCCCGATACAGCACAGTAGGACGTAATGAAAAGTGGTGTCGTTTCTTCGTCCTCTTCCCCCTCTCCATCCTTACTTCTAAAAACAATCAACAACGCTGATAACTACAACCGGAAGGCATTAGACCTATCGGTGATAATGTGAATAAACTTTCAGCATAGGTATTCTCAACTGTATCTTACTATTTATAAGCATGTGTTAAAAAATAAAATACTTCGATTTAAGAAATATTATGAAACTACAAAAAAAAGCAAATAATTCACAGAAATATTCATAGTTTCTGCTAGAGGTGGTGCATACATCTTTGTTATGAAACGATTAATAAGGAAAAATTTGTTGTGATACGAGAATAATAAATATTTTCTAATATAAATTTTATTTTTAAAAATTCTTCAGTCTTTTACCTCATCGTGAAAAATCAAGAGATGGTCGTCGTCATATTAATACTGCTCCAGTTCGTCTTCGTCGTGCTCGACATGATGAACGTAGCAAACACGAGGATGGCCATTTTGCTACGGCAACAATGCGTTATATAAAAGATTTATCTTCTATATTTGGCAATGATTGTGTTTTTTATTTATCTCAAGATGATAAATGTAAAGTTCCATTAGGTTTACCTGCGGCTAGAGTTCAAGCACCAATGTTAATGCATTTGGATTATCGTATACGTTTACCAGATCATGATTGGACAGTTGCACCTCGACATCAATTAATACCAAGTGTATATGCAGCATGTTTCTTATCTGATGATGGTGATGTAGGTTATTCAGGTCCAACATATATTGCAATACGTTCAGCTAAACATGATTTTTCAAGTGCTCAAACTCATGCATCAGATTTTGATCGTCTTGTTGGTTTAAAAGAATTTGAAAAAGTAGCACATGATGAAACTGGACAAGTTAAACCAATTCTAATAATAACAGTTGATGGTGGTCCTGATGAAAATCCACGTTTTCCAAAAACACTTGTTGCAAGTGTTATAAAATTTAAAAAATATAACTTAGATGCACTCTTCATTCTGACACATACGTGAGTCTTTTTATTTTTTTTGAGTTTCAAAAAAAAAAATTTATTTTTAAATTTTCTTTTTTTAAGTCCTGGTCAATCAGCTTATAATATGGTTGAAAGTCGTATGGCCCCATTATCTCATGATTCAGCTGGTCTTATTTTACCCTATGATTATTTTGGTTCACATTTAAATGATTCAGGTGTAACAATAAATGTTGATTTAGAAAAATTAAATTTTCGTAAAGCTGGACAAATCTTAGCTGAAAGATGGAATCAATCACTTATTGATGGATTTCCATGTTTTGCTGAATATATTAATCTACCAGCTACAACAGACGATGAGCGTCGACAAGTCGATATTGCAATTGTTATAAATGCACTTTTACGAAAGTAGTTAGTTTTGTTTTTTATATTTTTTGTATTATTTAATTCATTTTTTATTTATTTTTGAAAATAGAGTTTGTGCTGAAGAAGAAGCAGAAGAAGGACATGAATTTCGTGTTCGTGCATCCGATGAATATTATCGAGAAAATGCTCGTGCATCATGAGAAAGATTTAATGAACCACCAAAATATGATATAGATGGATATTGGTGTGCTATCCATGTTTTACAAACACAATATACATTACAAATAATTCGTTGTAATTCAATTGAATGTTGTGGACGATGGCGTTCAAATTATGTTTCAGTATTTCCTCATCGATTTTTGCCAGCACCTGTACCATTTGAACGTACAGCATTTGGCATTAGAATGGCAGAAAAAGATTATCAACGAGGACAATTTTATGGATCATTATTTCAACGAATTCAATTTCATGGCGTTGTTATTCAACATACACAGGTTAGCGAAAAAAAAAGAATTTCTTTCTTATCAACAAGCGAGTAGAAATATGTCTACCTAGATTGATTAGAAACCGAGATATCGATGAAAGAATTTTATTGTTATTTCTGATACCTTAATCCCAATTTATTTTACTGCCAATACAATATGTAAGTGGGAGTATGAAAGTCACATGTAGTACCTTCTTATAGATTAATAAAACTAAGAAAAGAATTATGATAGAAATAAGATACTTATTCGATTTAATGTTGATCACCGAAATATATGAATAGTGTTAATAGATCAATTAAATAGGTTGTGCTTTTATTTTATTTACTCAAGTGATAAGTATGAAAAAAACAAAAACGATAAGAGCTACTTAGTCGATACATCCTCAACCTTTGTTAATAGGGACTTTCATTGATAGTATTCAACTTTTAATAATGAAAAATAATGCGGATGATTTCATTCATAGCTACTCGTGATTTAAACAATTGAAATAGATAATTTTTTTTATCTAATTCAGTATTTAAGAATAAGATTACAAGCATCAGTTCGATTAAAATATGAAAGGAGACAGCAATATCTAACCCAGTCGCAATATAATAGCGAAATACTTCAAAATTTATACATATGTTAGAAAATAACTTTAAGCTAAATACTAAAAAGTGAATTGATGCATTTGTTTCATAGATTCTATGTTTAAAAAAAAAGAACATATTGTAAGTTAAAAAGTTTTTCATATCTTTTCTTTTAATGTTTCTATAGCACATATGCAAATTTCGTTGAAATCAGAACTATTTTGTAATCGAACTCAAGCAAAAGCTAGTCCTTTCGTCACATTTCTTACAAGAAGAAAACAACTATTATTTAGAGTCAAAAAAAGAAAATTTTTTTTTCAGAATGAGCTGCTACCATTTGATTACTGTTGTGCATCAGTCAAAAAAGAATTAAAAAAACGTACATGTAAAATATGCAATCAATATATTCCATCAGCTTATCGTATGAAAAATCATTATAAAATTCATGCACAAAATTATGAACGTTTCGATCATGATGCAGAGGATAGCTTACCACCACCACTAGCATTAGATGACATAACAACCAATTCAAATCAAAATCAATTATTGACCGCAGCAGCATTAGCACCTGTAGTTAAAGTTGAAATGTTAGATTGGCTTCGATCAGATCTTGATGATATGGATTCGAGTTCAACTGCAATACAACTTGCAAGTGATTGTGCTACACTATCTATGAAAAACTTATGCGTTGAAGAAAGTGCTGATAAAGCAGAAAGTAAAGATTTAGTTCACGTAGAATAAAAACATTCAGCAATAATCATTTATTTTTATTATTTTTCACATTAGCTTGTCTGTAGAATTTTGTTGATTTCGACTTATTCTTTTCTTAAAATTTTTGTGAATTTTTTCTTGAATAATAATGAACATGACTGTGTTTTAGATCTTGAGAATAAAAAGTACATTTAAATGTATTTTTAGAAGAGCAACTATACTGTTCTTCTATGCAGAGTTTCTTTTTCAATGTCAAATAACACGTAACTCTAATAAAGTTGTAGAAATGTTTAAAAAAAACGAGAAATTTATCATCTTTACCTGTACAATTTTAACATAAGAAACAATTCTATTCGTGTTCTTTTTAAGTTTCGATGAAAAAGATTGTTTTATCAGCAAAGATCAGCTCCCCATAAATAATATCTATTAAATAGATGATAACCAAGTTAAAAGTATATTATTGATTGTCATTATTAACAATGTATTGACTTTTACAAATTCATTTGATGTATAAACAAGCGTCCGGCAACATAATTTAATGTTCATTCCAAGGTTAAATGACCGTGGGCATTTTTTGAATAACTTTTGATAGAGTTGAGATAGAATTCTTCAGATTTTACCGTTGGAAAGAGCAATTGAAGACGCATCGAACTATATATTGAAAAATTTTTCTAACTACTTTCCTATAGGTTTTACATAAAACTTCAAGAAAAACAGCATGCTTCTGATGGTCTTGATATTTATTTATTGATATTCAGAAGTGATATAGAATTGTCAAAGACAGGGCTACAAAACTATATCAAGACCCTGTCCCTAAATACTACTAGTATGATATCCAAAACATCAGAACACAATTTACCACCTATTTTTTTTAACGCAGGAGAAAAAAAGAAAATTCTTTGAAAACTTTTCACTTAACCTTTAGGAAAGTAGGCAGATAATTATTTTTATATATAATTCGATGTATCTTCTTCTACCCTTTCCAACGGTGAAAATGAGAGATTTCTATCTCATCCCTATCAAAGGTTGTTCAAAAAATACCGACGCTCATTTAACTCTGAAATGGACATTAGTTAAGATTATTCAAAACTGTTTGTTCTCTCGAATTCAACTATATCTTTTATTTAATATTGATTATTGAAAAACGTATTCAATTTTAACCATAAAAGTTCTTACGGTGTGAGTTTGGATAATTGAGTACAGAGAAGCTTCATTTACTTTATTCATGATTTGTTTTTCTAATCTATCTGATGCTTTTATTTGGATTTGTGGATTAAGGAACTTGGCCTGTACTCGACGATTCTTTGTTCTGTTTCTATTAGTTCTAATGTGTTATTGGTAACTGTTGGAAGAAAATTCTATGGTGAACAATATGGATTACAATACTTAGCTCGATTATTTCTATTCTGAGTTCTAGCTATTTTTCTTTAATTTTCATTCTTCCTCTCAATGAATCTAGTCCATTTCGATTGTGTATATCAAGTTCTTAAATGCAGACCTCAATTTTTATCAACTAATTTTTGATATTATTTGTCATCTTTATCTATTGCTTTCATTAATTCTACTTTGATCGTGATCAGTATTGTACCACAAGTTATACTGTTTATTCATTTTCTTCTTGAATATTCTATTTTCGACCTGTAATTTATAAATGATGTTCGATAGTGGGTACTAGCATATTCTTGTCAAGTCTGTTATCTTATTGTTCGAACTGACATTTGAATTGTAATATTAATTTAAATTTATCTTGTCCGCGCTCTAGACTCTCTAGTCTATCTTTATTATTTGTTTTGTTCTAAAATTTCTGCTTTTGAGTGTCAATAATTATTATTCAATGTTTTGTTGTCCTGTGGACTTTAGTCTACACTGATTCGAATGCTGAGATTTCATAGAGTTTTAAAAATCAACTATTTCCGATAATAATAATTTCATTGGATTTCAGCTATTCAATACTTGAACGATTCTTGATGACTTTTTTAATGAAATAACGCTGAATCCTCAACGAAGCATAGTATCGAAAAACTAAATTACAATACTGACAAAATATTTAAGAGTATTGTCATGAATGTTATTAATCTTACAGTTTAAAAATCGGCAGAGATTTTTTATCAATTTATTTAATAACACATAAAAAATCGAATAAAAAATAGTATTTTTCACTTATTTTCTCAATGAGATACAGGGTGGATCAATGGCATTTCGATTCTAATACTAGCCAATTAACATCAAATCCAATTTCGTTAAATGCAATCTAACAATTGAAATTTACGCTTACCTACTAAAAATCAAACTCTATCTAATATAAACAAAAAGTCAGGATACAATGGATTTCCATTGATTATTTTCTCTTTGAAAATCAAACACAATAGCATGACTTTTATATAATTTCAATTATAATGAGCATAGAACGTGTTTTTATTGAGTTTTTTACGGAATGATGAGTTTTTCAATTATTCTTTTTTGGAAATCCTTGCATCAATACATAGTAAGTGCAATCCGTAGACTAATCTGTAGTACCTTTTTCACTCTTTAAAGTATACTATCAATCAATACCTGCTTGTAGAAGGAAAATATTGGTATTACTCATTGAGCATGGTTTTTTTTTTTTTAATTAAAACTGATTGGATTCAAATTCTTCTAGAAACTATAATCAGATGATTACCGTTTAGAATTGGTTATAGTCAATTGAAAATATGACTTGATTAAGAAATCTAAGTTCAATAAATTTCCATTCAGGTTGTATATAATAATCTAGTTTAGAATTGAATTATGTTACTAGAATTATTTAATTTTAACCACTAAAATTTTTTTGAAATGACTGCTAGTTATTTTATTTAAAACTAGTCATCTATAGAAGGTTATGATTAAATCAGTTAATGTATAAACGACGACGTAAGTTTATGAAGAGTTGACAATTGATTAGATAAGTGATTGCAATATTAAGACATCGGTTGATTTCTAAAGTACAAGCTCATTACAACAGTGACTTAATGGAAAAATTTTGTTGAACTGTTCTTGATACTTTTTCATATTCGGATCCTCGAGTGTCATAAATGCTTGACGTCCAATATCGATAGCATTCTGTGCATGTTGAAATGCATTATCGATTTTGTTCAAACGCTCAAAAATAATTGATTTATGAAAATGAGTTTCGGCTAGATGTGGATGATTTGGTTTTAACACTTTTTCTTGAATCTCAAGTGCTTTATCGAGACAGTCCAGTGCACGTGAATGATCATTCATTGCAGAGTAGAGCAAACCGATGTAATTATAAGTTATTGTCAAGCGAGGATGAGTAGGAGGTAAATGTTCGCGTAATATTCGCAGTGCATGCTGATGACTAGCCCAAGCTTCCGACAATTTTCCCTGCTGTTTTTTTACCCAACCAATATAATTATAACGATCCACGATGAGTTGATAATCAAGTGGGCATAACTGTTTCATCGAATAAGCAAGATATAATGTGAGCAACTTGTTCAATAGTTCAACCATAGCTGAGTGAAATTCATCTTCATTAATTTGTTCCCTACCAAGTACATTTTTGATTGCTGAAAAGACATCGATCAAGTCGCGCCTAGCTTCATCAGCAACAATATTCCCATCAAGTACTGCTATACTAAACATCTTGTGTAAATGTGCTTTTGCTCTTTTCCAATCACTCTTGTATAAAGAAAACAGTTCAGCTAGCTGATAGTGTGTCATTTGTATGAACTTTATATTATTTTCGCGCGTGGCCTTGTCGAGAATCATTTCATATATTGTAACTGCTTTGTCATATTCACCCATATGCACAAGTAATTTACTTAATCGCCATGTAGGATCCATATTAATTTGAATATCCGAGTCAAGAGAAGAGCTGAGGTCTATACGTATATGTTCTGTCAATTTGCGAAGTTGTTCATCATCGGCATTGGTCAATGTTAAATGAACCTTCCAAAATCGTGAATTTTTATCATCATTCATTGGTTTTACTTCACCAATACGAAATACGGTATGCATCGAGAAGAGTATTTCTTTTTCTTGCTCTTGGAAATAGCTGTGTTTATCAAGTGATGCAAACGGTACTGATACTATCGATGGATCGATATTCATTTCGAATAGAACAGCCATATTTTCTGGCTTCTGCAGAGCTTTTCGAGAAAAACATAGTGAAACTTCTTTTGATGTACTTGTTGACAAAAAATTATTAAAGGAAATGAGACCACCTTGATTTTGTTTCATTCGATGTAACGCCGCTGGTAGTATCCTACACCGATTAAAAAATAATAAGAGATCTACTCATTTTTGACACTACATGCGGGGAATATATGATGAAAGTTCAAAACCCAAACCATGTTCCTCATTATATCTGTTGATAGGTTTGAAACTTGTAGATATTTAAAAAAAGACATTTCTTACTCAATTTTTAATGATTCTTCGAACGTATCTTTTGTTTTTTAAGATCTACTTAGATCTATTCTCATTTACAGTTACACGTCGAAACATTACTCTTTTCTTAAGTATCACTTTTTTTCGACAAAACGTATCGTTTATACGATCAACAAATATTGAATAACAATAGAGCAGATGTTGTACGATCACTTACCCTTGACTTCGATAAACAGGCAATATCTCACTATTATTCATTGCTTTATGAAGATTTTCAAGTTGTTGATGAAGATCATAAATGAAGAAGTTCATCTTGATCAAAATCGCCATATCTTGTTTGCATAAAGCTCGATTTAGCATGGAATAAATAAAACACTCACGTGTATACCACCAAATTGGAGATGGATTACTATAGTTTTGTTGGAATTCTTCGATTACAGACAATTCTCTATTATTCTCAGCATAGTAGAGTTGACAAAAACTAATAAAGTCTTCTTTCGCTTGTTCACGAGTTGTATTATCATATTCCATACTAAGTATAATGTCTTTGAGTAATTGCGAGTACATGAATGATGCATCAAGGTGATTAGAAATTTTTAATGTGTGTGAACTGAGTGTCTCAATAGGAGTCAACTCCTGTTGACACTGTTTTATATCTTCTTTGAGTTGATTACAAATTTCTTGAATATCTGTAAAGACACCTTTCATTTTATGATGTTGCTCCTTCGTATCCCATTGTTCATGTTTAGACTTTTTAAAACAAAAAACATAAATTGAATCAATCTTAGTGTCATGTTCAATGTTAAGTACTAGTTGTTGCCCCAATGAACCCGAAACAATTAAAAAGACTTTTTCTTCTTTCACTTTATTGTCAATAAAATCGATAAATAACTCACACGTATCAAATATTTTGATTGAATTGACAATACGACGGAGCACTGTAATCGATGTTTGAATATCATTATCCGTTCTATTTCTACGACGAAGTTTCGAGTCCACCCAAGTAATAATAAAATTTTCAATGAAACGAGTTTCTTGTTGTTGATAAGCCATGATTTACTCACATACGTCGATTTTTGCTTTCTTTATCAAAAGACAACTATTTTAACCTATTTTCTATCAAATGATCGATCAGAAAAAAAAGAAACTATAGCCCATTTCACCAAGGTCATCACAGTTAACAAAGCATGGTAATTAATATTATATAATACATAATGTGCATTTTTTATGTAGCACGTGCTAAAAAAACTTTTCAAAACAACATATGCGATACCTGGCAACCTTGATCAATGGTATGTAAATTTTAATATTCATTGTGACCAATAAAAGATACGACAATGTTGCTTTTTTTTTACTCAGGGCGAGGCTTTTTTTGTAGTGACTTTCTCTATAGTACAAAATTATTGAGGCGATCTTTCTTAAATTTATTGATATTGATTATATAGAATCGACCTTGCCGCACACCAAAGTATCTCAAGTGGTACAGTCCTGATTTATGCCTAATCATAACAAAATATATCATCAATCACTATATCATTGTCAATATTGTATAGTAAAATGATTTTTGTTTTAGATCGTGTATTAGAAAATTCGGTTGATGTAAACGAAAAAAAGAAAGAAAATAAGAAAATATTTCATGTTGCAAATACTAGATCATTTTTAGTAATAAACCGCCGGTTGCAATTCAAACTGCGATTCATTGGTAATTTCATCGTTTTGATCTCTCTTATCACAAGCTAGTCTTCAACATTTCCTAAATGACTTATTAAAAACGAAATTAAAAGTTATTCAGATATTGCCAGATATTTACTACAAAGAGAACTCTCCGTTGTAAATGCAATTTATCGTGCGTGTGCCTGATTTTTTTTTGAAAAATAAAGTAAAACTATGATTATTCTATTTATTTATAATTTGCAAGAGTTTGATTTTATTAGAGATGCTAGTTCAAATATAAGATCATATTTAAAAAAAGATAGAATGCAGCAAGTTTTGGTCAGTATTTATATTCGAATGATAGTTTTTCATATATGTTTTATAATATATTATTCTAAATTCATGATAAACAAATGTATTCTTCAATTTTTAAAGAATTTCATTATTTTTCAAATGTTTTCTTTTGTTTTTTTTTTAATATTGACTTCATTGTTGATTACGTTTTAGCGTCATTCATCCTTTAAAACATGCATCTAGCGTTCTAATTCTTTTCTCTCTGTGCATTACACGAGTGAAGATGTTGATAGAATGAAAAAAAAGATATAGATATGTGTCTGTTTATGCTGGTCAATATAGTTTCTAAAAGTTAGCGAAAATATGTGATCCGTTGGCTAGTGAACGATGGTTCAGCATTCAGCTCTAGAATTTATATGAATTAACACATTCATGCATTGAGAAATATACAAGAGTTCTACAAAATGCACCAAATTTTATTATCCATGACTTTTACTGTTGTTGTCATAAAAAATATAAACGTTAGAATAAAGAAAAATCATTTCGATTACTTTTTTCTTTATCATATCATAACTCATTTCTATCATTTTTTTAACAGTCCTGACAACTACTGTAGTATAATTGAGAGAGAAACTAATCTCTTCGTTTAAGTGCTGAAACGGAGGCAGTCTAGAAAACATCTCGATTTCTTTTCGAGTGTTTAAAAGTAAATCTTGTCTTTCAAATGAAATCATCATCTTATAGTCAATTTTTCTAGTTTCAGATTTGTCGAGATCCAGATCAGTCATAATGCCTGATATTATTGACCAATTTCCTAATCAGATACCAAAATATTTCCTAACGATTGTTAAAAAATTCGATAGTTTATTTATCTGTTGCAATAGAAAAATAAGTTTTCATTCATTCATACTTGCTTGAGCATGAAGTACGAGCATAATTATGTACTTTGATATCAGTGAATATTGATGGCAAAACAACATTCATACTATCAGACTGAAATTTTAATTTTTATTAAAGTTCATTACCAAAGACTAAAACATAGAATAAAATAATTAGAAAGTAAGTCAATATTTTTCAAACAAATATAAACTTTTTTTTTTTACATAAAAGTTATTGTGAAAAAAGGATAACTGAGAATGAATCAATTAGATTGTACTTCGAAACAAAAACAAAAAACAGTTTTTAAATATAAGCATGTTACCTTAATAAGTTATAGCAACAAGAAAACTCATTGGTACAGTCAATAACTTTTTCACACTAAAAAACAAAAGCTCAAAAGATTTAAAGATCTAGATCTATTTCAATACTAAGATGTAAAGGAATGAAGATTCGTATCAATTTGACATCAATGAAATTCATTTAATTAGTCAATTGATGGTTATTTAAGAGACTGATTAAATAAATTTATCGTCAAAAAAAAATTTGATTTATTTATTACACAATAAATACAAGTTGAAATATAAAACTCAATATTGTACAAGGAAATATTCAAACACAACAGATAAAATTAAATATTCAAAAACATTTCTTTTTGAATAAACGTTTAGCAAGATTTTCATTTTTCAATGATAAAGTCTTATTCTGTAAGTGTTGATTTCCATTATCAATAAAGATTATTAGCTGATTTTATCAAAATCGAAAAAGATCGAATGTACAATGCAAGAAGGTTACCAGGTACAAAATAACATTTTTACCATACTATAGTAAGCCGTTGAGTTATTCTAAACAATTCACATAACTTTGTTTCTCCGGTCCATATAAACTCCGATAAGAAAGAGAACGAGGTAAATGAGTGCAATAATAGTGCTATATAAAACATGATTTCATCGTTTCTTTTTATTTTTTCTTTATTAAAAAACTATCGTTTATCAATAAATTATATCAAAATGTCTCACAATCATCACACAGGTAAAAACCATTGTTCTTCAAATGATATTCTCTTGGATAAACCATCGACAGAAAAAGAATTATATGCTGATCAATCATTTGGTTTTGGTACAATGCAAGGATGGAGAAAAACACATGAAGATTTTCATAAACATTTAATACCATTTGATAATCAACATTGGAAGAATTGGTCTTATTTTGCTATATTTGATGGTCATTGTGGTGTTGATACAGCAAAAAATGCTGCCCGTTTTCTTGATAAATATCTATTGGAATCTTTTAATCAATGTCAATCGAATATTGATCTTCATCAATTTCATAAGATTATTAAAAATACATTCATTCATTTGGACAAAAATTTAATGGAAGTTGTTAAAGATCATAGTGGGTCTGTTTGTGTATGCATTCAAATTATAATATTAACATATATATATATATATATTTATTTATTTATTTAAATAATTGAATATTTAGATAGCGGCTTTAATAAGTCCTAAATCAGCTTTTTTAATTAATATTGGAGATTGTCGCGGAATAATTATTTCAAAAGATGGACAAATTTTATCAGCTACTAAAGGTTCTTGCATTTTTTCAAACAAAAAACTCGCTTGATTTATTTATTATATTTAGATCATAAACCAGATGTTCGAAAAGAACAAGAACGTATACGTAAAGCAGGTGGTCATATAACAAAACCGAAGAATAGTGTTTTACGTGTTGAAGATAAACTTGCTATGACTCGTGCATTAGGAGATTATTCATTAGATAAAAATGTTATACCAGCTTTACCTGATGTTATTGAATATCCAAGAGATTCATCTGCAGCATATCTTATTATTGCGTCCGATGGAATTTGGGATGTTATGAGTAATGAACAAGTTGCTTCGTTTATTTCTCAACGAGCATCGAATACAACTTTAGATGATATTATATCACAATTATTTGATTATTGTTTACAACAACAATCTACAGATAATATGACAATCTATGTCGTAAAATTAGATTAATAAAAAGAAAACGTTTTTTTTCTATTGTATTGAAACATCGTTTAATTGCATCAAAATTTAATCACATCTACGATATTTTTCTCAATTTGACTAGTACCATAGTATTTCTTTTCTTTTGAGACTGAGTGTGAAGATTTCTTTTCATTATTTCTATATGTTCCTGAAGAAATGAAGGAAGACGCTAGATAAAAATGAAGATTGCCGATCTTTTATTCAATGAATCTGATACACACTCATATACAATTCGACATACCTCTTCTAATTTATTCAGATTTATCCCGCCATACCAAATTCTGCTTTTGTAAACCATAGATCTATGTTATTCTGATCATGAACTGATTTTTCTAGGTCCTGCACAGATTTATAAAATGGCATGCTTCACCAAGTATTTCATTCATATAAGTCAGCTATATCATTATCTATGTGACGAATAGCATCGCCTCTAGAAATAAAGGACTTAAGATATTCATATGGATCAATATGTTTATTTCACAAGAGTGACAGGAAAAATTCTGATATAATATGAAGAACATTATACTGATTGAGGATGGGGGTGTGGGTGTGGGTAACATACCAGCCTTTTCGATTTTGTCAATAATAAATGGAAATTGATTCCATATTGATTCGATGTTAGTAAGTTGAAAATTTTGTAAATTGACCGGCAGTGTACATGCTGTTCGTTGTATCAAAAATGTTGTCAATGACAAACATATCAGTGGAGAGAACATCAACCACATTTGCCACACAATTGTTGCTGCTTTTTTATGGTGAAAATAGAAAATCAATCGAAAGAGAACAATCAATTTGTTATTTTATACTTTACTTCAAAATCCACTAGAAATCGTGTACGCGATGTATAAAAAAGAACTGAAATAACAGAACCGAAAAAGGAAAGAAACAAGAGAAATGTGACATTTCATTCTTACTTGCATAAATTACTTTTTATATACACGAGTACTGCTGGAAAATAATTATATTTCTTTTTTACGCATATCATTACGGTCTACATCCCATTTTTGAGGAAAGTTTTTATTCACCCTCTAAGCCTTTCTTCTGAAGAGTTTCGGAGTCAGTATGGGCGCGGATGTGAGCATCATATTCTACAATCACCCCCACACCCACATTCAATCATCCTAATCATTTACTTACCAAAGTTTAGTAATTCTAGCCAAGGCAGGAGCAAAATCTTAAGGGATATAGCTCTACCAATGCAGGTAACACTGGTTTATGAGATTGTACGCTTGCTTTTTATCTTACAATTTTTCGGTTACTCGTTTTACGGTGCCTACAATTTTTTCTTGACAACCAACTTTTCTTTCTTATGTCTACTAAAATTTCAACTATTATCGTCATAGACAACGACTACACTTATCCACAGTAAAGCACCCAAGAAAAAAAGCATGCATAAAGTCATTCTAACTAAAGCAACAAAACTTGTTGCTCATGCAAAGGTCTTTATCTAAATAGGGTTCAAAAGAGTTTTATTAGTTCTCGTAAAAGTATGCAAAGTCAATTTGCATGTTGGCATGTATATCTGTAGATTATCCATAGGAATATTTCTACTATCTGAATACTATCAATCAAAAACATACCGAGGGATAGGCGGATGTGGGTGTCACCACAAGACCTCAGACGCCTCTATCTTATACTTCCGAAAAAGTGCGGCTGGATGTCGGTGATAGCCCAAAACAAAATGGTACCTACACTCCCACACCAACACCCAGCCTGAATTGATATTAATGACCAATAAAATTAAAAATATGATTTAGCGAATATACCCCATGACAAATATCGTTTTTGGTTACCGCCAAGGACTTTCACTTTCCAAACTCTTCTCAAAATATTCTAAAGGTGTTGAACCTCAAGATATAGGTGTTGTATATAAATTCACATATATGAAATGTGAAAAAATCTATATAGGTCAAACTCAATTTAATGTCAAATTTCGAATGGACCAACACAAAAAAGCGCTTTATCAAAAAGGAAACAGCGGGTGTGGGTGGGTGTGGGTGTGGGTGTGGGTGTGGGTGGGTGCGGGTGCGGGTGTGGGTGTGGGTGTGAGTGTGGGTGTGGATGTGGGTGGGTATGGGGTGTGGGTGTGGATGTGGCCTTTGGTGAGGAGAAGACTAACACACATCTACCACGCACACACCCACAACCACACCCACACCCTTTTAACCAATATTTTGTTTGGTATATTCTTTAAATCAAATACTTCTAAGTGTAGATAAAGGGAAGACTGTAAGTCACAGGTATTATATTGAAGCTTCTGCAAAGCCTTTTATTAATGAAATATGGAAACAAACAGAGATATCAGGTTCAAAATGTACAAAGTTGTTTTACGACCATTGTTGACCTCATACTCATCCGATGTTATTAATTTTGGTGTGGATGTAGGTGAGATATGGGGCTATGGGTGTGTGTTTTGATCTTTTCTTTTCTACATCCACACACACCACTCATACATCACACACCCCCACACAGAACATCTTCAGTTCAGAATTCTTGGAAGGAGAGCTTTTTATGGTTCCGCATTTTTATGGCAGAACCTTTCACGGTTCGGTAGTTTTGTGCAGTACCTTGTCAGTTCACCATTTTTCAAAAGAGAACATGGGGTGGTTCAGTGTCATTGGACGAAACTACTTTGGTTCAACATTTTTAGGCAAAGAACTTTTTGTTTCAGCATTTTTTGACAGAACTTTATAAGGTTCAATATAAGTGGGCAGAACCGTTCAGGGTTTAGTGTTATCATACAAAGCTATAAATTGGTTCTGGACATGCTGCAGAACTAAAAATAGTTCTGCAAAACTTCTTTTTTTCTTACAGAGCATCCCACTCTCACATTCACACCCTATTGTTACAAAGCATTCAATTCTGTTGATATTCTAATATCATTAAACTAGATTTTTATTTTGAAGAACTAAATGTTCGAAGTATATGACGAGGAGTGTGTTTGATTGTAATACCTGTATATCAACTGCGTATGAGAATATCTATTGAAATCTGTTGCTTTATAACTTTTTATCGGTATATATTAATACATGACTATAACATATTACATGTCTCAAAACAAAAATAATGTGATTTGTTTCTACTAACATTTGCTTGTCGATATCTTTTGAAGTATAAATAGTTTTGATGTTATTTCACAATCAATATGCACTTTAAGCAAATCATTCAGGCCAATTGTTTCGTGGTCAACGTGTGCATCTTATATAAATTCGTTCGCGATAGAGTATGTAATAAAAAAAAACTATAAAAAAAAAGATTAAGGTAACTACACAAAATAACGACTGATAAGAAACAAATAAATTCATCGTGCTGCAATCGTAAAAAAATGAATCAATAACCAAAACGAGCAGGTAATATTACATATGTAACAACATATATACTGAGGAGGACCTCAAGACAAAATTTTCTTCACATATTGGTTTTTGTTCATTTCGTTCTGGTGAGTAACTTATTAGAATAATACTATAATTAGAAATAAGTTTATTAACCCCTTCCGGACGGATCAAATATATACTTGTGACGCCTCTGCATGAACTAATGATTCACTGATAAATGTTTTGTATAATATGTTTCTGGTCTGTTTGAGAACTATGATCATAAACCAGCACTGCTCTCAACTCCCGTAGTATATTTTCTTTACTTGGTCAGAAAAATATCATAAGAGACACCTATAAGTGAATTATGAGTTCATGCAGAGCCGTTACGTATACATACTTTACCCGTTCCAAAGGGATTAAATAATGCACACATATCGTTAACATGATCTACGCATTAGACATGATTGAAACAGACTTGAAATCGATTCCAATGATCGAGTTATCTTTTGAACGATCGATTGATAAATGTTTGATAGTTAGTAGCATAGGGGCAGGATCTGTTCCAAACATGAAAGATTTCCCCGTCTCTGATACAAAGATTGTTAAATGAGCAGTTATGCAATCAGTTAACTGCAGATATCTTAAGAAAACATTTCCAAAAGTAATTTTGTCTAACTTCACGATTGATAGAACTAAATTGTCTATTTTCTTTTATATGATAAATGAGTCCGTCCAGCCTTTTTTTATGAACAAAGTTGAAAAGCATCGTTGAGCAATATCATCTGCAATAATAAAAAACACAATTTTGCATTTTCTTCTATTTCAAGAAAACTGTATATAGCAATTCTTGTCAATTTCTTCAATTCTCAGCATTATTTAGATTTCTGGGGTGTGGGTGTGGGTTGAGTGTGGGAGTGGGTGTGGGTCTGGGAGTTTGTGTGTTGGTGGATGTGGGTGTCGGTCTAGCTATTTTGTTTCATTCACCAGACATTTCATTCGCATCCACACACTCACACCCACACACCCACACACCCACACCCCACACCCACATCCACACCCACATCCACACCCCACCCACACCCATCCGCACCCACACCCCACACCCACGCCCACACCCACCCACATCCACACCCACACCCACACACCCACATCCACACCCACACCCACACTCCACCCCACACCCACACCCACACCCAAACCGAAATTTATAAGTATAAAAGTCTTTCACTATTAATTAAATTTAATTAAAAGCTATTATTCTCTAGTTTGTCTTCGAAAGCTACGGGAACTAATAAGTATTTGTTTGTATCAACATTTGTTTTCGATAACCTGTTTGTAGTGTAGAGTTTAGATCATGCAAATTTTTACCTTTTACTTCTTCATTATTACGCATGTTGTATTTTGAAAACATTGAATCATCGTTCATGATTCTTCAAAACATTTTACTCAATACTGAAAAAAGTGCATGACATCATTTCATAATTTTGTTTTTATGAAAAAAATTCTCTTCCATTCTTTTCATAGTAAATGCGTAGGGAAAAAGTGTTTATTTAAAGGTGGTATGAAATTTCCAAGTAATTTCACATTCATTATAATAACAGAGACTAGAGCACTTCTGATAAAAGAAAAAAAAGGTACATTTTCTTGATTGCATTGACGTAAGCCTCATTTCTAGGTCTCCAAATCTGTGAGAAATTTACTCTATACGAATTCAGTTTAAGTAACTACCAAGTTATCTTTATTCATCAAGTGAGTTTTATTTGTGCAGTAGTTATAATCTAATATAGATATGCTTTGTGTCTTTGTGGGAAATAATAATAAAACACATGATAATTCAGTATAATAGTTTAGCATACTTAGGACAGCTCGACATTCTTTTTAATGTTGAAAACTCTTACAACCGTTTTTTTTTCAATAGGAACTGATTCATCCTAAAGTTCGTTGAAACATACGACTGCCAACAGCATCTTATTTTCGATCTATTCATTAGATCTATAGTTGCTTCACGGCGAACTATCGGATGTGGGTGTGAATTTTCTTTTAATGTACATCTATCTCTAAACTATATACACAACTATGTTTTTTTCTATTGATTATTTCTACCTTATAAACATACCGCATGCGACGCATATAGACTCAAGAAAGAAAGAGAAAGGAACAGAAGAATGAGAGACTCAAAGAGAAAACAAATATAACGAATAAGACGATTCAATAACAGTCGTTATTATTACATGCATGCAGCTGCACGTTTTTAAATAAGAGGTATGTCGTTATACAACGGTTGAACTTTGTCTCATAAGAAGCTGTTCAGACTGCTAGCTTAGGAAGTAACATGCTTTACGTGCCAACCGTCTGTTGGGAAGTACTACTTTGACAATAGATAATGTTCACTATAACTACTACAGACTTTTATTTGTGAGAATCTAGAGTTCTCAAAAATAGAGGGGGAGACTTCAGATGAGCGATTGAATGTTTAAGTGAATACTAAAGCATGTCTGAAAGAGAAACTTGTAAAGCGTTTTAATGATATTCGAATTATTTCAATCAGGTAATAGTACAATTGTTCATATTCAGAACGGTTATACATACATATTGGTAGTCACTCACAAGCACACCCACACGCGCATTCTAACGGCTGTTTTTGACAGTTGATGCAAATTCACAAAGAACGTTCAACTGACGAATGAGAGATAAGCTTTTAAAACTGAACCGATAGAATGAGATCAGCGGTGTCTGAACATTCAGAAAAATACCTAGAAATATTTTATTTTTTCAACTTTTCAAGAAATTTTGAAAATTCTTTGATATTATACAACATTGTTTTTCTCAATAATAATTGAATATAAATATGTTTTTGAGACAATAGAACGCTTAACTATATGAAAAACTAGTAGTAATGATGAGTAAGTTTTCAGAGAAGCTATTCTCCAGTATTATTCAGTTACTCAATATTCAAATCATCCCTTAATTCACTAATTGATGGTTGAATCAATCGAAATGTCATAATCATTTTATTGTTCATCATTAAGAATGCAAATTTTATACTCGTCTGAAAATTGATGAGTAGTTCACTCAACTAGATGTCTTGCAACTTTCATGAAACACGATCTAAAAGGAGTATTGAAGTTTTTAGGGTAGAAATTCGCACCCACTCCCTAGTTTTCCTACAGATGATGACAGACACGCTGCTCGGATCAGCACAAACTATGGTGGACTCGTCCAGAAACGATTAGAATTCAGGACGGACACTTTATAAGATAGGTTCGACAGTGATTGATAAATCAAAATGAGTACTGGAAATCTTATATATGTGGTATCTAACAGAAAAGCTTATCAAGTAGTTAATTTTCGAATTTAGCTGTCATACATTTAGCAGCAATGAAGAAGTGTGTTCCGATAAGTAGAGAATGGAGAGTTTTTTTAGGAGTTTAGTAGTAATGGGTATATCGTGTTTCACATTTTAATCCTGTAAGGGATGGCATTAACAGTTTTTTTCGATAATACATCTCGGAGAGATGCATGGGCCTTCGAAATGAAAAAAAACGGAAGAACATCAAGGCGAGAACTTCAAGAATAGGATTTTTGCCCAGATGTTTTTGATAAATGGTCTCAAAACGATATTCAATTATGAGTATTGAGAATATTGAGCATCGAAAAATTCAGCACCATTAAAAGTAACATCATGGAAACACGTGGAAAGTATGTGAGCTGCTTTTGAGGCACTCAAACGATATGTTTTTTTTTCTGAACTTACATAAGAGCTCTCTCCTAAAAATAAATGAAGCTTTGCATTTTGTCCATATCATCTGTATTCACAGATCTGGATCGATCGAGAATAGAAACTATCGGCTCGAAGAACTTTTGCGTTGAAATAGGTCTGAGCAATACTAATTTATGGCCTCTGATAGATAGATGTTTTCCGTATCTAGTTAACTAATCTTTTGTAAATAATTTCTGTCGAGTCAGAAAACTATTCTGAAGTCTAATGCCCTGCCTTTCCAAATCAGGATCAGTTCGATTCTGATGATCAGGAGACAAAATCTAATAATTGAGATGAGTGTTGCCGACAAAGAAACCTGTCAACTATTTTTAATTTCGATAACAGCAGGACCCAAGTGATTACCATATTCTACCGATTTGTGCGAAGAGAAGAACCATTCGCGTAATTGTACGCAAGCATTTACATTCATGTCCCGCAGTAATTTTTATGCTAAACTTTCCGGTGCTCATTTTCCTTCATATTTGTCGTTTCTGCTCCCTCCAAATGACGTTCTATTATATGTATCTTCTGTCAATAAAAATAGATCTATTGAAAAAAAAAAACAGCGCAAAAATCTTTGCTAAAATGAACACTTTCGTGAGACAAACGCCTTGCAAATTTGGTATCAACTGTAATAGAAGAGACGACCCATCTCACCTAGAAAAGTATGCTCATTCACCAGAACTGTCAGACTCCGATGATGACTACGAATTAACTTATCAAAATGATCGAACGCCATGCAGGTATGGTATCAATTGTTATAACAAAAACCAATCACATCTGAATGAATACTCTCATCCACAAGAGCCAAAAGACTGTGAGAAAAATGTTCTACCAGGTAATCAAGTACAACCTTCGTGCAAATATGGCGCAGGTTGTTATAGAAAAAATCCACATCACTTCAAAAAGTATTTTCATCCTCACAAAGATGCTCAATCGAAAGCGGAAGATATTTTAGCAATCAAATATGATACACCTGTTTATTGGGGTAAAAATGCACTAACTGAATCCTATCTGGAAATAAATATCAATCATAATTCAAATGAATTCAAGATCATTAGAGATTTGATGAGTAACACAATTGGGCAGCATGGCAATACATGGGGAACAATTTATGGAAGAGATCCGGCAGAATTCTTAATCACCAAATTAACTCGAATCCACAACAAAGATCTCTGGCAAGAATATTCTTTCAAAAAAGTAAGTACAATAGTCATATTTATTTTCTTAAAAACAAGGACTACGCTGTAGGTAATCATTTATAATATAAACTTAATTGAATTATTAATAAACAATTTCTTTTTTCAATAATAAATTGTGTATCCAAATCGATTTCTTTTGAAAAATTTCATTAAAGATAGATATTATGATAACCCTAAACGCATGAGCCAATTCTATCGATGTTGAATTCAAATGAATATTATTTCATTTTATTTTTTTCTTTGGCTACAGTTTGTTTGCTAAGTAAATTTTCTATCTACGCAGTAAAAGATTCGAATGCGAAGTAAACATACTAAATGCTCAGTTAATTAAAAGTCTCTGACTAAAAATAAATAACTAAGTTCAATAAATAATAACCAAATCAAAAAGACATTTTGCTGCGTTACAAAAATCGAAATTACACTAAAAAATAAAACTGCTGAGTAAGTCGAATAAAAGCAAAGTAGGATTATCTTAAATAAGCTGTATTATCTTATGGTGATGCAGCATATACATTTTCTCTCGTACTTTCCTTTCCTCAACACTAAATTGGTATCGATACAAATACGAGGATGCACCAGTCATTTCAACTTGAATATTCAATTGAACAGAGTATGTCACGGAATGCGTATCCAGTCCACTAATGAATTTCTTGGATCCTCAGCAGTGGTTTGCTCACATTTCGATTGGGTGCTTAGTCGTTCAGTTGCGGCCGGAACTTATGTATCCTAACATTTCTATACCCCATCTGAATTTGCTTTTGTTTCGATGATACGCATAAATCATTCAAAGATCTTCAGTTTGGAATGCATGAAGTCATTTTATCAGACAATGCATCAAGATGAAAAAGCGAGCTTTTTACATGTTCCAGTTTCTTCAGAGAACTTTTTAACAAACATTTCCAGTCTATTATTTCAATATAAATCCTCGGAGAGTCACAAAAAATAAAGAATCTATGGAGGTTTCTTGACTTACATGTTTGTGAAGTCAAGATAAGCATAGATAAAAGTTTTGCGAGATTTCCAAAAAGTAAAGTAAAAGATGATAAACTTTCTACATGAATATCTGAAGAGTTTGCGAGAAATGTCTAGAGAGTCCCCAAAGAATTGCTCAGAGATGTCTTTAAATAAATCATACAACCCTCAAATCTTTTTCAAGAAGATTCCGTAAATTCTCGCAAAGGTTTTTCTCGGCTTTTACTAAACTTTTTTGGGCTCTGAACAAAAAATTCTAGCGAATTTTCTTGATATTATTTATCGATTTCGTGGGAATTACTAACGAGAATTCATCGCTTAGTGACAGGTTCCGGTGAGAGGGGTAGAACCCACCAAAAATGTTTACCATATTATTGGTATAGTTAATAGGTTCCGTTTTTGCAAACTACTTTCACCAGCAAAAGATATACTTTTGGGTGAAAAAAAGCAATGACTACTACGCCAAGTTATAGGAAGTTCTGTTAATACAGTAGCTGTATAATTTATTCTTTTGCTTAGATATTTATATTTCTTTAATTAACAAAAGTTATAAATTTACCTAGAGATTTACAATATATAGCCTAGAAAATCAAACTTGTTTAATTACAATTAAAATAAAAAGCTAAGTAAAAATGACATTTATTACGTAGATTTTAATCGATTTTACTTAGGATTTCAATGGTAGCCATTTTTTTCTATTTCAGACACGAATTATGACGAAGAATAATAACCAATTAGAGAACTCAGAAGGTTCAAAGTACCTGCAAGGTTGCCCATTGCTAGTACCATTATTAGATGCAAGAGCAAACGAATATTGGCTATTTCATGGTTCTGATTCTAAAACACTATCAACTTTATTAAATGCTGGTTATGACCCTCGAGTGTCAAATATAGATGGAATGTTTGGAGGTGGATTTTATTTAGCAGAAAACTCAAGTAAATCTAATCAATATATTCCATGTCCTAGTTGTGAACGAAATTGTATATTACGTGAACCTCACTGTAAATGTAAAAATCAAGAAGATTTCGAATTTTCAATTATTCTTTATCGAACATTATTAGGAGATGTGCATATAGTAAAACAATATAAAAAAGATATTTATCGTGGGACAGATAAACAGCATCCTGTACGTCGACCACCAAATAAACGAAACTCTGAAGAGCTGTATGACTCTGTAATGGGGGAATGTAAAAAATATGGTGGAGATCGATTAAATTATCGTGAATTTGTTATATACGATAGTGGCCAAGCATATCCTGAATATTTGATACAATTTAAGAGATCAGCTGAAAGAACAAAGCCATGATTTGATTTGAAATATGTGGTAGATCAATGCCATACTTTTCTTACAACAGATTTAAGTTAAAGTCTAAATAACGTGATACCACAAAATTTCAAAAAACATTTATTGTCTGCCCATACAGATTGAATTTAGATATTGTCTAATAATTTTTGTTTGAACGGTTTTTTATTCATGTTCTCTCATGTTCAACCTATACATGAAAGACGTAGACAAGAAAAAGAAATTTGAAAACTAAATGTAAGATGATCCCACGGAATGATACAAAGGAACAAAGATGCGGTGTGGGTGTGGGCTGGATGTTGTAAATGTGGATGTGGGTTTTGGATGTCAGTTTGGTTGTGAGTATCAGATGGAATAAACACATCGACACCCACACCCGTTTTTAGCGAAAAATTCACTTTATAAATCTATTCAAAAGCCTGGAGCTTTTAAAAAATTCGTGAGAATCTGAGAAATCTTGGCACAAAAATCCCGTGTACACAGTTCGATGCGGTTTCATATCCTCTTTTAAACGGTGAAAAGTGCAGCTTTCTATCTAGCTTCTATCAAAAGTTACTCCGAAATGCTCACAGTTCGTCATTTTTGAAATGGGCATTAATATCTAAAGCTATTTTTGAATGCATTATAAAAGTTTATCTAATCACCGGTCAAACTCATCCTATAAAATAGTGATCCTGGCACTATTGAATGTAAAATTAAATTCTGAATAAGATGCCCCATGCGTCTACTTAAACAACTCAAACATATAGGCCTATTTTAAATCAGCCGAAAACAACAGAGGTGTGCGTGTGGGTATCTGCTCTAATGAGGATCCAGGCAAAATGGACAATCACACCCAAATCTGCTCTGCTTAGTTTTTGATACGCTTACAATATTATATTCTCTAATTCAGTTCATTTGTTCGTCTAACATGTCGGTAGATAAGTAGAATAGATGATTTTTTTCTAAAGAATCTACTGTAACTAAATAGCTATAGTGGTTCTAATAAATCCTATTGTTTGATTTCCACTGTCGGCTGCGTGAAGTATGTAACTGCCTTGCAATAAAATAAACTATTTCGTGAAAAACTAGTAACTCATATTTTGTTTCCATAGATGTTCAACTCGAAATTTATTTTCCTTAATTATTCAAAGAAGATCGTGATAGAATACATTGTGTGTGTGTATGAAATGTTTTGTTCTGAGCAGTCACACTAAAACCAACACCCATCGATTCAAAGTATGAGGAAGTAGAGTACATTTGGAATATTTTGTGCTGCAACACTTTACAGCAAATTTTCATTTTCTCAAGAACGATAATACCTATAACAAAGCTTATTTGTACTATTGATACTATCAGGCATGACCTACATTTGATAGTATTTGCTTTATACGATGTGCCATCTTCAGACAACAGGATTCCAGTTTATGGGACCAATTATTCGAATCAGCGCACTTGAATAAATTGAGAATAGTGTCATCTGAAAAAGCAGATCAAAATGCGCTGATTGACATGAGGGTGTGGAGTGGTAGTGGGCGTCGGCGTGTGTACCGGTTAAGAGCACACTCATATTCCAACACTCACACCCACACTCTTTCCATCCCACACTTCAGCTACTCTATGACTTGCTGATTCAAGAATAGACACACTTCAATTTGAACACTAAGTACATAGAGATTTATTTTCATAAATCTGATTTTTGTTTTCTCTAACTTGTGATTCAGAAGTAACTGATTTTTTAATAAAAATAAATATATTCAAAATAGTTTATTCATAATTAAAGGAAATTTTTCATAATGTGTTTCAAATTCTCAACTTATTAGAACCAAAAATCAGATTTATGAAAATAAATCTCTATGTACTTGGTGTTCAAACCGAAGCGTGCTCATTCCAGAACCGATAAGCCATAGATAAGCTGAAACATTGAAGAAATTAAGAGTAGAAACGTTTTTTAGATAAATTTTCATGAGTAAATACAAACTATAATTATAAATTATTTTTTGTTTAAGATATTAATCGACAACATGATTTCGTTCACTTTATCTTAAGTTAAATTCTTTTCAAATATTTCACAAGTTTATAAAAATAAAAAACAAATGCTTTAGTATAGCAAAATAATTTTTACATGTACTTAGCGTTTAACTGTTCATTTAATTAATTTTTTTCATATTCTTGAACAGCATTAGAAGTATTTTTTGAGTAGGCCAATCATGAATATTGATATAAGCAATCGTCAACAATACTAGGATGTGGGTGATTAAACAGAATGAAGACATCTAGATCGATATCCACAACGACCAACTCCCATACCCACTCGTCTGATAAAAAGGTATATATTGAGACTATTTAGTTGGAGTTCTATTTCGCTTATTACAAGTTATAATCATCTTTATTTGATGAATTACATAAAATTATTCACATAAACGAAAAATATATACAAGATCTATATAGTAACTTTCTTAATTAATTATACTAAATTTTCTTCTAATAATTACTATTGTCGACAGAGGAGAAAGAGCAATTGTGAATATTATATCTTGTCCATTGTTACGTTTAATTTCAATCCATTGATTTTGAAATGTACTTGATCCACCATATTTTAGATCATCTATATTGAATATTTCTACTACATTTCGAATATGTCCAACATTAGGATCCGATTCTAGTAATGGAATATCATAGTATGTATAACCAAGATTCGAAAAGTTATGGATAACAGCGATTTGAAGATTATCAAAAATACGTCGATGATATGCAATTACTAGATTTTTACTATATTCATAGATTAAAGAATAGCCTTCTTCTCCATATTCCCAAAATTGTGAATAACGAATTTAAAGTTACCATGCAAATAAATTTCTTAGATCAGAAAATTTATCCATATCATTTTGAGCATGTGAAATACAATTCAATAGAATATTTTTATTACTAAATGGATCATCATTTATATCATTATGACTCAATGTACAAATCATTTTATCATCACTTCATCGTGCACAATTTAAAACATCTAATATTTTTTGTTTCTTATGTTGTGATCGTTCAACATATGGCGTTCGATGAAAATTTCGTGCATCACTACTCCAACCAATATTCCATTTCAAATCAAAATTCATCGTTCTACTAATATTAGGATAACCTTCTATCTCTTCTGCAATACACAGAACACTCAGGTAATATGTATGAATAGTATGATTGAATTGATGTAGAAATGAAAAAGCACTTTGAATATCTGTTTGATTTCATCGAATCATTTGACTAACAGCATAAAAACGAATTCCATCAAAATGAAATCGATCAAGATAGTAAAGAGCACTAGCAAATAGAATTCGATGTGTTTCTTCTTAATCAAAATCAAAATATAGTGTTCCCCATTGTGATGCAGTACTAGCATATAAATTTGTACCATCATATTCATGTAAAGACATAGAATATTGATGAAAAAAATGATAATGTTTAAAATGTGTTGGAATCCAATCAAGAATAACACCAATACTATTTTGATGTAGACGATCAATCGAATTGTATTTTAAATCATCACATCTACCGTTAAAACGAGAAGGAACAAAATAATTTGCTACTTGATAGCCATATTTCCATCTGTCGGTGTGTTCTAATACACCATACATTTTTACATGAGTAAAACTCATTTGATTACAATAAGTTACTAATTCACTTGCTATTTGACGAAAGTTCAATGGCCAATAAACACTACTTTTCCATAGTTTTAGTTGAATTTCATAAATAGATAATGATGATTTCATAGGATTAGTTTGAGCACGTTATCTCATCCAATTTTGATCATTCCATGTATAAACTGTTTCATCATGAACAATTGATTGAACACGTCGTATTATTAAATTAGAGACAATAGAAAAACTTACTGGATCTGTTCGTAACATATATCTTCCATATGATAATCATTAATTAAGTAGAGATAAGTTGGACCAGATGGAGCTTTATCTGTTACAATATCCCATAGACCCTTATGATTTTTGTTCATTTCTGATCGATATTGTTGTATACCATAGGTTGTTAATATTAGCCAAACATTTCTTGCATTAGGTGCATACAAAACAAAAACTAGTCGTTTGACTTTCATGATTATAATGTGCACCACGAGTTTCGTAAAGTTTTGAATGTAACATATGACAAGTTTGTAGAAGACTTACTTATTTTCAAATGAATTTGTAAACATATATAACATTTAAAATCTTACATTTATAGACAAAGAAAAACTGATGTCATCGGAAAAAAATTAACATGTGAATAAAGATTATCACTTTGTTGTTTCATGATATAACTAATGTATCTATTCATTAATCATTCAATATCACCTGTCATCTCTTCATTTTGTATTGACTCTTATCTGAACGGTGAACATTATGTATCTTACACCATAGTAACTCAATAGTTAAAATCTTTTAAACAAGATTATCCGATAAAAATTTTTATCGTTTGTAGAACTTATTATTTTCGAAATAGTTTCACTGTACTTTTGGTTTATTTTATGGGTTTTTATGAATGTTCTGTATCTTTAGCAAGAACAACGTTCTAAAATACCTCTAAGAGTAATTTTGAATCTTCAATTTTATAATTGATTTGGCATAAATCCAGACCAAATACAAATGATGATCGATTTATTTTATTTTATTGTTTTCAATAAATAAGATGATATTCTTTTGACAATTAAACAATATAGCTTATCTTTATTTAAGATTGCTGTTGAGAGAATAATATACGTTCAAATTATGCTTTCAAAAGATTGATGATGCCATGAAAATACAAATAAATATATGATAACGTAGAATGCTAAACAATTATTCGATTCTCTGTGACTAAAACAACTATACAAGTATATGAACTTGATAAATATAAAAATATTTGATGAAAAATATTGCTTTAATAACATAGTTTGATGATATTACTTTTATCAAATTGATCTTCGATAATT